TTACTTCTTTCTTCTTTCTTCTTCTTCTTCTTTGCTTTCTGTTAAGATGGTGGTGCAATTAGTGAGAGATAGGGCAAACGAATAAGTGGTTAGATGGAGAGGGTATGGAAGAACCAAATAGAAGAAGGAGAAAGAGAAGGGTACTAGAGGGTCACGGGCAAAGAGGGACCTGAGAGAGGTGGATCATGGAGGTAAAATTTGAGATGCAACTAGGGAGCTCTCTGCACCCAAAAAATCGCCTTGAAGATTTGCAAATCAACTTGGGCTTGATTTTCTAAAGATATCATTTGAAGCTTTGTTTGGTGGTGTAAAGGATTCAAATCAAGACAATCAAATGAGGTAAGCAATAAATTGGAAGAGGAAATATTTCAAATGAGCCCAAACTACAATGTGGGCTGGATATCAGATGGATGCAAACTATTTGTGTCCTCGACTCATTTCTTAGATCGTTCTTGAACCCATTTCTTCTCCAAGCAACCATGAGGTTTCGTCTCCAATATTCCAGACCACAATCAAAGTAAATAAGGTTCAGCGTGATGTCAAAGCACTTTCCACATGGACTCTGACTTATTACAGTTGTTACCAACTGGCTTGGTAGTCAAGTCAACAATAAGCTGCTATTTAAAGGTTACGTGGCAATAACACCTTATTGGAGTTCATAATAACCATTACTTGCTCGACCCAATTTCAACATACTGAATTACAATCAATGTAACAGCACTATGATCACAGTTAAATGACAGGGTGGGAGAAAATGAACAAAATACAAAAATAAGAAAAAACCAAATTATAATTAATTATGCATAATAAACCTTGATATCTAACACAAGAAAAGCAAATCCAATTTCTTTCCAGAAATAAGCGACAATCTCATGAAACAAGTTCCTCACTGGTTTTGACGCCCTGAAAACTAAAATCCACTCCTAACAAGATGCGATACAAAGCTCTTTAACGAGAGGTTATACTTAAAATGCAATGAAACCCATCATAGCAAGTGGCTCCATGATAACTCTGTGCTATTGAACTGGAAAAAATATCATCAAACTATGCATATTCAGCAATAGAAAAAAAATAAAAAATAAAAAAGACTGGCAGAAGTCTCCTGTTTAGTAGTGTAACAAAAATAGTAGCATAGACCGAAACATTTGAAAAAAAAAAAAAGGGAAAAACCAAAGAACAGAGGAGTATAAAACAGATTTCCAGTGCTCTGTCATAAAATAGACGAAAAAGGACGAGAAAAATCTTAATTTTACACATCACCCACTAAATAACTCGGTTATCAAACAGTTCGTACCCATAGCTTTTATTATTATATATCCACGGGCAAATGCAGAAGCTTACATCATAAGGAAGCGTTTTATAAACTGAATAAATATGAGAGAGAGAGACAGAGAGAATAGGAGCTTAAATAATTATCAGAGGCTTAAAAGTACCTTTTTATCAATCTAGAGAAATGGGTTCTCTGCTCCTATACTCATTTGAAGAAGAAATGTTTGCGCCTGCCCTAAATCGGTGCAGAGACTTCACAATCTACTTTTATACCACAGTCATTGTTGTTGTTTAAGATAATTGGAGATATCTAGACTGCTCCCACACGGAGAGCGTAACATTTGTAAGAAAATTGTTTCATGAGTCGGGGACGTATTCCTACATTTGTGTCCCCCTAGGTACAAATCATCCATTTTAAAAATCGAAATAAATGGGTGGTCCATCCAAAGACAATAGAAACCAACCGTTCAAATATTCTTTTTATAAAATTATTATTTTTAATTTTTAAAATTTAATTGTTTTTTCATATTCGTGATCTCCATGCTAGAGATTATACGTCCTCAAAAATTGGGTCCAAAGTCTATGGTAAAAATAGATTTTTATGAGGGGACTCATTTCTACAAGGACTTATGGAAACTGTCCTTTGTAGCAATGGGTGGGTCAGCCGACTCACCTATTACCATGCTGTCCCCTGTCTATTATTTATCATCCATATCTAAGATGGATGTTAGAAAATGTTATATCCAGTGAAGAGACGTATGTCAAAAAATGTTATATCCACTAAAAGTTAAAATGAATGGTGAAGAAAGGAATTCAAATATATATATATATATATATAACGATTCTATCATAGTATAATGCAATCACACTTCTTAAAAACTATATTTATGGCACTTGTATGAACCAAAAGTTTGCACACATACTCTTTTCATCTAAATAATGAATCCCCAAACAACAAAAATTCAATTTGAACTCTAGATATGGTCAAAATGAGTCCCCTCCAACAACGAATCTAGACCATTCATTTGGTGAATTTTAAGATCTAGCCTTTACAAAATCAAAATCATTTTTTTCTTTCTTAACAATGTTCATCTAATGATAATAAAACCATCTAAAAAAATTGAAAAATAAAAAAATCTTTCTAAAGCCTAGATCTAAGCATCTTATTAAAATAGACAGCCTATATTAATTGAGCTAAAAAAATATTTTCTATATTGTGTTTTCAAATTTTTCTTTTTTGTGGTTGTTCATTAAAACGAAAAGAATGTATATTCTAAAATTTGGATCAAACAAATGGTCTTAACATAGTTTTTGAAGATTGTTTCATTATACTATGATACAATCATTGCATGAGATCACCAGCCTATATATATAACAATGATCCAATACAACGGTTGTATCATAGTATAATGCAACGGCACTCCTAGAAAATCATATTTGTAGTATTTGTATGTTCCCAAATTTTGCACACTCACTCTCTTCATCTCAATAATTAATCCCCCAAAAAAACAAAGGTTCAATTTGAACCCTAAATATCATCAAAATGATTCCCCTCCAAAAGCGAATCTAGACCATTTA